GAGTTAGAAAAAGAAAGTTGAGAATAATTACACCAAGAGATTCTACTTATAAGTGAAGAGGTATCACCTGTGAAAAATATTAATTCTGAAAATAAGACTTAAGAAGAACGAAAATAAAATTAATAACAGTTGCAGTAATTGTAAAATCAAAATTAGAATGAGGATTTTAAAGGTTTGTAAGATGATTAAGATAGGTTAGATATTGATGCATTATTAAGCGAGAGTAAAGATGAAGTTGACGCACTTGACTATCATAAATACAATGAAGATAAGTTTAAAGAGCAAGACAAGGAAATGATATTAGGTAAATTGCCAGACCACTTTGAGGTAATGCAAAAAGTTAGCTTGGGACTAAGTGATTTTCAAACTATTAGCCCAGAAATTCAAAAATAGCAATCAATTGGAGTATAACCGATTTTAGAATCTGGATAAGATTAAAATAATAATTTAAGTAATAGAACAAACTATCTGATGAATTAACACACCTAGTCTGGACTGTAGAACCAAGTTAACTTATAAGGAAACCTTCAATAAAATCAATCTAATGCAAATTAATCAAGATACCCATTTTAGAATACACTTTAGAATGCTGGCCATCAAAATTAATACTAGCAATAAAATTAACAATAGCAACAGAACTAGCCTAAATATCAAAACTATAACAACAATTGACAGTATTATCAAAATAACACATCATATCAAAATAAATAAAATTAACAATAATAGATGGAGAAAAATATCTAGAACCAAATTTTAGCCGGGCTATTAGATAAAAATTTTGATTTAGGGAGATCTCATGCGGAATTGTCTCGTGGAATGTTGGATTGCTTTAGATTAATGACTACAATGATCAATCCTCTTCTTGAGTCTAAAGAGAGAGAAAATAGGAGATTAAGGAAATACATCAATCATAAACTTCAAATAGACGCAGAGTAATATCTAATAAATGAAAAGATAATTCCAAGATCGAGAAAGAGGTAAAAACTTGACAACAATATCTAGGTAGTATAAAGAGAAGATCTTATTGGTGACAAAATGGAAAATATAGGAGAAGATATTGGTAGAATTCACAATTATTCATGACAATTTCATGAATTTCCTGTCACAAATATTGAAGAACACTAAAAGCATACTATTAATGATGCAATGAGAAATAGGAATATTCTTTCTTAAAGTTAAAATGATAGTAGATCTATTGATAATGACCACACACTTAGTTAAGGCATACATAATATATTAATGCCTATGACAGCTTAAGATAATCCATCAAAACTCAGCTAAAACTCGCAGTAAAACTAATAAAATTCTTAGTCTTCTAATGGAACAGGTGTTGGTGGTGGTATGTTCTTTATCAATAACTAAAAAATGAAGATAAATTCAGATGTACTTAAAAAGGGAGAGGACTTTATGAAAAAGTTTTAGTAAGATGATGATAAGTATGATAATGATTTGGATTTATTACTTGCTGCAGATGATTGCAATACTAAGACTCCATAATCAAAGTACTAATATCAAAATAACAATTAAGGCAGGAGTAGAAACAGTAAGAATTAAAACGGTTATAATCAAAGGAATGCTCGCAATAATAGCTGAGAATTCAAAAGTACATAGTAACAGTAAAATAACTCTGTAAATATTAAAAGTGCAGTGAGTATAGACAAATAGAGCGGAATGATTAATGGTAAATATAATGATGAATAAATGCACGATATAAGTGAAATCGAGTGGAAGGGTAATGTTACTCCCACAAACAATAATAGGTTGAAGTCGATGAATTAATTTTGGAATAATAATTGAATTGCTCTAAATTACTCTTTGAACTGTGATTTGCTTTTATTTATTTTCTTAAAATTAGAA